AGGGGAAGGTTATGACATTAAAATAACCCCAGAAAAGTGAGGAAAGTATAAAAACCAGTCTATGTTGCCTAATGTGTTATGATTAGTATATCAGTCACAGGATTAGAAAATGTAAATTGTTTCTCTCTTCAGTGTATTTTCTAAAAGGGAAGAAAAATGGTGTCAGAGTGTAAACGTCTTTATGATCCTTGAAATGTGTTAGGAAAGGAGTTATTTTATATTAAATTCTGTCAGAAGAAACTATAAATTGTGAATAGGTGGATCCAAGTAAGGTGGGGAAAGAATAGAATTAATTACTTAGAATAATAAAGTGAAAACTTTTTAGTGATGTTCGGTGCCCAGAGTAAAAAGAATTGGGTGACCATTACCTTGTTAACCATTGAATTCTCTGGGACTCCTACTATAATAATTGATCTTCCAAAGTCCATGATAAACTGTGCTTCTTTTGTTCCCTACAACATGTGTCGTCTATTGAGGTAACTGGGCCTGAAGTGCACAAAGCTCTTGTATTACTTTTTCTTATAAGGTGGTATTATGTCGCTTTTTGGTTTTGATATTTCTTTTTTTTTTCTTTTTCTCTCCTTGTTCTATTAAGCATTAGTTGAAAACAAAAACAACAAAAAGTCTGTATAAGGAAGATTAAATTCCCTTTTTGGCATTCTCTTTATGAATCCCAATATACCACTATCTTCTTGATATAATGGTCAAATCTTGTCTGCTGCTTTAAACAGCTTTCCGTTCAGGACTCCTGTACATTTTTATTTATTCATTCGTTTAAATGAATGACAGTAAAATATACCAAATAACTGAAATTTCTCTGGGTTCCTTTCTTTTTCTCATTTTTATACATGATTACTGACCAGTGTCTGTGGTATTTTCTTCTCCCCATATAATACTTGTATCTTTACATTTCTTCAGCCCCACTGTTAAATTCGGCTTTCATACACTGCTTGCTTATTGTAATAGCCTCCTGAAGGGATCTTCTGCGTTCTGTTTTTCAACCATTAGACCATTCTCAACATTTTTTCTAGTTTGATATTAATGTAATATAAATATGGTCAAACCATTTACTTTTTATTGCCGTAACTACCTTTGTCCTCTTAGATTCAGTCCAAGATCCTTACACTTGGACACAAGTTCCTTCAGAAATTCTGGTCCCTTTCTATTCAGTCTTAGCTCCATCACCCATCTAAAAAGCCCCCTCCCAATAACTTTGGTAAATTATATTTGCTTACACTTGATATTCTCTAATACCATCACGCATTTTCTTGGCTGTCAATCATCACAATGTCAAACAGAGCCCTTAATTTTCATCTAGTCCGAAATTTGTCTTTTGAGACTTGTCTCATGAATTGCCTACAGTAAAATCTTTCCTGACTTCCATGGATCAGATTAGTTTTCTCTACTCTAAGGTATTTTTATAACACTTTGTATTAAACTAGCACTTTATTTTAAATTAAACTTTATGTACTAAATAGAAAGTATTTGAAGCATTTCTTATATATTTCTATATTTTCCAGCACTACTAGATTTCCTTTTGCAGAATATGTTCTCAGTAAATCCTTATGCAATGAAGAAATAACACATTAATTTGTAACATAATAAATACAGGTGGTGATTACATATAATGAGCAAATGATTGATTAAAAACAAACACAGAACAGCATGCATAAAAGTATTGTTTGTTGGTATATTGATGCCCTTTGTCTTAATCATTCCATGTTTTTGTCTCACCAGACTGAAATGCCTCCATCAGCAACATGTCTGTTTTCAATAGCTCTGGACTATATCCCCGCTTCCTCCTGACAGGCTTCTTAGGCCTTGAAAACACACATGGCTTGATTTCCCTCCCTATCTTCCTGGTTTATGCCACTTCAATTGCAGGGAACATTATTGTCCTCTTTATCATCAGAACTGAGGCTTCCCTGCACCAACCAATATACTACATTCTGTTGATGCTGGCATTCACTGACCTGGGCCTATCCACTACTACCTTGCCCACAGTGTTCAGTGTCTTGTGATTCCATATCCAAGAGATTCCTTTCAATGCATGTCTGGTCCAGATGTACTTCATTCACGTTTTCTCCATTATTGAATCAGCTGTACTGTTGTCCATGACCTTTGACTGCTTTGTAGCAATCAAAGAGCCCCTGCGTTATGGAGCCATTCTGACTAATGGTATAATCAGTGGCATTGGGTTGGCAATTGCTGGAAGGGCCCTGGCTCTGGTTTTTCCAGCTTCCTTCCTCCTGAAGAGGCTTCAATATCATGCTGTCAATATTCTCTCCTATCCCTTTTGCCTGCATCAGGACCTCATAAAGACAACTATATCCAGCTGCCGGATTAGCAGCATTTATGGCCTCATGGTGGTCATCTGCTCCATGGGACTTGATTCAGTTTTCCTCCTCCTCTCTTATCTCCTCATCCTTAGCACAGTGTTCAGTATAGCTTCCAAGGCAGAGAGGATGAAAGCCCTCAATACCTGCATATCCCACATCTGTGCTGTACTCACTTTCTATACACCCATGATTGGGCTATCTATGATCCACCGCTATGGGCAAAATGCTTCTCCTATTGTCCATGTGCTCATGGCCAATGTCTACTTGCTGGTACCACCCCTCATGAACCCCATTGTCTACAGTGTGAAGACCAAGCAGATTCATGACAGAATTCTTAAGAAGTTCAAGAGACAGAGAGTGTAGTTGAAGGGAACTCCAAGAAGCAACTTTCTTTCTTTTTATATATATGACAGAATAATCTCATATTACTGTGGAATTTTGAACTAAAATATTACTAGCAGCATTTTGTCTTTCAGACACTGGATTCAAATTTCAATCATAATGAATCTGGGGGCATTGACTTTAAGGATGATGGAAAAAAATTGGAACCAAATAGTGGTGATTTTTGCACAGTATGAGGAAATGTACTCAATGTTACTGAATTGTACAAATAAAAAAATGTTGAATGATAAACATTTTGTTACGTGTATTTTCACCACAATAAAGAAAATAGTAAATCCTATCTTTTCAGTATGGAGAAAAATAAGTATGATTTTGTTTTATATTTATGTTGACATGTTACAGAATGTGGTAACTAAATTTAGGTCATGTCATTCCTGTCAAAACTCTGCATTTTCCTTTTAACAATTAGCAGTAAATGTGACCCAAAAGAGTCATCAAATTAACAACATAGTGAATCTATTGGTTATATCTTGTGAAGACTTTCAATGTTTAAGAAGATTTAGAGTTCAAGGTGAATTTACTTTTAATATATATTCTATAGTCTGAATTGGGAGCTCTGGTAGCATAGTGGCTAAAGGCACTTGACTGCTAACCAGAAGGCTGGCGGTTCAAACCCACCAGTCACTCCTTGGAAGGAAGATGGGGCAACCTACTTCAGTAGTGATACTGCCTCGGAAACCCAAGGAGGGATAGCTATGAGTCGGGTACGACTTGATGGCACATAACAACAACATAGTCTGAATTAATAATATTTTCCACATTAACCTTAATCTGAAAATATTATTGAATATATTTTTGACCTTCTGTTCAGGAGAAACAAAAAAGAAATGAAAACAGCAGGAAAACCTCTTATGAAGAGAGAATGATGACTAAGTAAATTTCAGCACATTTTCGGAAGTATAAAGAAGACAAGTTGGGCTAAGTAATTGAAATGGTCTGGGTGAGGAAGAATCCAGA